ACTAGACCCTTAAAAGGCACCATTCCACAAACCCCATTGTTAGGGCCTGCAGTGTGGCCCTTTCCTGAGCATGTGAATTTGCCAAGAGTCGACTGATTTTCCCTTGTGTTGAGTGCACATCTATACTCTTTGAAACTACAGAAGTGTTTTGATAAATGGCCTGAACTGTCTGCAGGTCTGCAACTGCATTGTACAATCATCAGGGATGGGGGTGGTGATAGGGCTTTAAAAAATTAATGCCCAGGACACAACCCAAAGCAATTAAGTCATAATCTCTATGGGGTAGGACTCAGGCACTCGTTATTTTGTTCTTGTTTTCTTGAAGCTTCTTGGTGACTCTAATGTGTGTCAGATGGACAGTAGCCTAAGTTGCAAGCTAAGACTAATGCAAGTTGAAAAATTCTATGGCACAAGTGCAGTTTTAATTTGACCCACATTTAAGAATATTGTAAATCAGTTGCCAACATTTCAAAATTGAGAGAATTCACAAAAAGTGTATTTCACAGGCTCCTATCAGAGCCCATTTGGCCAAGGATAGTCTAATAAAATATTTACCTCACTCTTGCAGACATCTGAGTTTGAGACTCCTGAATTCCTGTGGTAATAAAGTTGTGCTTTTGGCATTGTTGTAGTTGCTACATATCAATGTGTGATCAATTTATATACTAATTGGCCCCTACTCTAAAAATGGCCCTAAAATGCATATCTATGGTTTAATCATAGTCTGAAAATTGCTTTTCAAAAGAATCTATTATTTTCCCTCCCTTAAATGCTACTGACTAGAGAAAGATTAACAGTTGCCTTGAAAATTGGATTTAATTCCACAAAAAAGCAAAAATGTAAAACTCAGTTGTCTTAACTTTACTTCTACACTAGGCACAATTTGATTACTTCTAGTTGACCACTCGCAAGTTAGCTATTTCATCTTGGGTAATTGAGTGGAGAAGCAAATTCTCTAAAATAAACCAGAAATACACCAAAGAAATCTGGGTGTGTGTGGGGGGAATCTTAAGGGCCTACATTTTTTCCTTTTTCTGAAGGAGTCAAGATTTCCTCCAAATGCTTACTACTTATCTTCTTAAAGTGCCATAGAAGAAATGCTGAGAACAAATGGATAACAGCTGTTCTGTGTTTTACCAGTTATAAAAAAAATTCTGTAACAAGTACCAGGTGACTATTCAAAATTCTTATTATCAGAAATTCATTTGTATATACACACACACACACACACATATATCTTTATGAGACAGACAGAAAGTCTTTGATGTGGTTTAACAGCACACCACCATAGCCAAGAACCACCTTTCCTGGTACTGAATGTTAGGTCATTCTGAGATCAGATTAAGAAAATATAATACAAAGCGGTAATGCAATGTTGATTGAGTCCCAAATAGAAGAAATTATGAAACCTTGGGCAAGTTACTTAACATCAGTGAACCTTATTTTCTTCTGTAAAAAAGAGGAATTCTTACCCCACTTGCTTTAGATAAGTTAAAGTGCTTTGAAGATAAAAGTGATAAATGAACTCTCATTATAGATCCAAATAAGACCAAGTTAAATTGTCCTAAAATCTGGACTTGGCTAGAATATCAATGACAACAATCTCCAACCTGGGACCTTCTTTAAGACAACTCTCTCCCCATTCCTATGGGAGATAGCTTCTAAGAGTGAGCTAAATGGAAATAACAGGAGTTTTGAGGTTGAGAATAACTTTTAAATTATTTTATCTTTAAAAAACTGACAAAGATATACTAAGCATCTAATATGTATCACTGTTACAACACAAATAGCAATCTAAATTCAACGTTCAAGACAGAGAAATTGGAAAGCTTTCAGAAAATGCTCTGAAGGCTTTATTAAAGAAGTTAATTGTTGGGATGGTCTCATTCACAGTTCCCTGCAAAGAAATGAAACCAAATCTTAACATTTTATATTAAGTAGGAACAGTGAATAAGGCACATAATACAGGTGATTGTTAGACCACCTGTATGTCTTTTTTTAACTATAAAAAACATAAGTAACTAATGGAATAACAAAATAAAAGTTTATTTTATTAGAATTAGGAATGTTCTTTCCCTCTGGGCAACCTGAACAGTCCAGTTACAATGAAAATCTAAGAACAGTTATTTTTCCACAGCATAGGGTGCCTATGCACAAAATTACAGGGTTAGGAGCATTTAATCAATTTAGCGATCTGATTGTCTCACCAACCCGCCCCCTCCCATCTTCCAAGTGCTCTATACCCAGGATTTGTAACTAAAAGAATTGGTTATATTAAGTCCTTTTCTCTCTTGTATTAAATTTCAGTTCCTAATCATGGCTGAATCACATTTTACACTGCACATTCAACCATTTCAAATCAAGTCAGTCAATCTTGGATCTGTTATATATGTGTTTATGTATACATGTGTATTTAATATATTTATTTAAACGCACATAAAACACATACAATCTGGGTCGCAGCAAGTTACACAGAATTTAGTTTGATAATATTATATGCTACTCAGTTTTACCACTGTGGTTTGTATCCTGAGCTTTGGATCAAAATTTTATTATAAGTCATTTTAAGTCCATCTACTGCTCAATGAATTGTTCAAATGAAGCATGCACTTTTCAAGACAATGTAACTGCCCTCAATAAGAGGGAGACCCTGGTGCTAACGTGAATAGAGCCCTCTTGATAGAAAGACTTAGACAAGTGAAATGGGGAAGCTGTCATACAATATGGCTTGCCTATATCCCAGCTGGGGTAACAGAAGCTACTAACAATGAAAGCAATTAACTCAGGGAATACTGTCAAATATGCAGATAGTTGTTAAAAGATTGGAAGTAGAAAAGGCCAGTTCACCTTGATCCATACAAGTCAGGGAATGCACCCATAACTGCAATACCCTCAGAAAATATGCCAACACTGAAACTAGAAAGTATCTTTAAAAAGCACTGTTCCTCCATGGGTAGGGGCTGATATTACGAAGTGCACACACAGTTTTTGGATACTTGTTGCAAGGGGAGCGTGTAATGACACTCAAAACTAGATACTGCAGTTATCTGGTTAAGATTTTTAAAAAATATCACATATACACAAAACATTCTGATTAAGGGGCCCACATATATCTAGATAGCAACTCTGGCTGCTTTTCAGACACCAGGGAAAGGAACTTATTCAAGCTTTCTTAAAAAAAAATCTCCTTAGTTTGATAAATGCCTTTTAAGATTGATGCAGTCATTTAAAATAAAGTTAAAACGTGGGAGAAGAGGACATCGAAGAAGCAGACACTGCATTCAGATTTGCACCTGAGGTGGCAAGGGAGAGGGGACTAATGGATACAGATAAAGTTGATCCTAAAGCAACAAGTGGTTTAAGGAAGCAGCATAATGTACTCAGCAAACATTCACTAATTTTTGATGGGAAAAGAACAGTTACAAGTACATCTCATGTAACAATCTTTTCTAAAAGGAAAAGTAGGATGATTCAGCAAAGCCTAACTTAGGCAAAAGGCCAGAGGAAAGTGAGCCTACTTCTCAATGGAGTAATAAGATGTACAATACAAGAGTAGACAAAGCTGCCTCACAAATGGTAAACACTCCCTAGGCGCAAGACATTTAAAGGAAGACAAAGAGGTCCTCAACCCAAACTGGTATTTAATATTAAGACCTCTTAATCTAGTTGCCTAGTTCACTCTGCACTCCTGTATTAAACTGAAAAGATTTAGTTAGGGATGCTGACCTGCTGAATACCACACCCAGAATGGCCTAAACAGGTATATAATTAATAAAACCACCACCATCCTTTACTTTTAACATAGCTCTTAGTAGAAATTTCATAAAAATGGGTATCACAGCTAAAATGCATTATTAATTTTCCTCTAAAATGCATTATTAATTTTCCTATTTGTTGACAACAGAAAAGAAGCACAGTCAGTGATTTCTGTTTTAATGCACTAGATGGGAATATCATGTTCTAGGGGTGTTCACCTTCAAACTCAACCCACAGCAACACACACAAGCAATTTTAGTATTTGCCATTTTAAATTCACAATCTGAAACTAAGTGAATGGCTATTTATTTATATTTATATTTAAAGCAAAAACATTCTATTTGACACCCTAATGTAAAGAAAGGGTGAGAGGAGAGCCACAACTAAAATCTTAAAGGCTCAAAGCAGCAATTAAAGGGGAAAAAATTGAAATGTTTCCTCTGGATGGATAGGGAGCCTAGGAAGCCTTTACCGGTGTGCATGACGTGAGCACACAAAGGCTGACATAGATGCATGAGGCCATGAAGGGGAATGAGGCTGAGGAATGGGTCTCTCTTGAACTGCAGCAACTAAGCCCTCTGTTGTTGCAGCCCTTACCAGGCCATGGTACTGTCAGAGCTTGACCTCCCTGGCCCTGATCAAAGCACTGGGAATTCAAGGCAAGAGGCCCATGACCAGCAACATATCAAAACCAGAAAGGGTAAAGTAATCTCAGGAAAGGAAAATCAAAGAGCTCTTGTCTTCCAGAGGTGCTAAACCAACATTTTTTTTTTTTTTTTATCCCAACCTTCAACACTGGAAAGATAAGAAAACGAGGGGGAGAAAAAAGGGCAAAAAAAAAAAAAAAAAAAAAAAAAAA